CGCTCCAGCCAGATCAGGGCGACGTCAGCCGGATGGATAGGCCAACGATGATCTCACATGCAAAAAATACCCAATATATTAATCAGACTGATTAGGAATAGCAATTAGCAATAACGTATAGATATTATATGCTATATATATTGATGTATGCATGCAGCATATACGCATGCTAATTTGCATGTCCATGCGTCTGAAAGTATTGCATGCCACTGTGCGTGTATCTGCCCCTGTAACCGACAGTCCTTCAGCATGATGCCGTCATCGGAGGTAATCATGGATCCATCAAACGCCAGTATATGCACGCGAGAGAAAAAGAAGAATCAAAAGGCAGATCAATCTATGATTAAAAATAATATCATAATCATAATAATAGATTGGAACGATAAATCTGCCGATGCCGGAAAGCAGTTTTTATCCATGCATGCATGTGTTTATGCGTGTAGATGCAAAGCCGATCCTTGCATGTCCAAGTGCATGTGCTGACGGGTGATTGTTATCCCGGCGAGTAGCTGTCTTCACACGGCTGATAGATGGCTGCGGTGGATGACGCGCTGCTACACGCCTCCGGCGAGGCGCCGAGTCCGCGTCTAACTCGAAGCGTCCAATCTGTTCTCAGCGGAATCAATCTCACCGAGCATAACAGAAAACGGCGACGACGACGACAACTGGATCGGCACCTGTCCAGATAGCAGTGGTGCCTCCCGTGGCCGACCTCCATGCAGAGCAGCACGATCGAGCAGGGTTGTGCAGGCTGGTAGTTGGAGACGTGGCCGATGATCTCTTGGATACAAACGATTCTTTTGGCTACGGACTGTATAGCAGCTCCAGCCGGCATCTTGGCGAGTTGAATCTTAAGGATTCACCACCATTGGTGACGTCGGAGATTGGAGCGATCTAACTTGCTGAGGTTGATTTTCCTTGCTAGATTGAATCTGATTCGGGGACTTCTAATTGGTTCCATCTCACTTCTTGATAGATAACTCGGCGCACCCCTACCTGGCGCGCCAACTGTCGAAACATGAATTCGGCAATAATAAAAGGGGTAGGGCACGAGACCTAAAAGTGGATGGATGCGGAGACAAGGATTTAGACAGGTTCAGGCCCTCTCAATGAGATGTAATACGCTACTCATGTTTGAAGATTTGAATCCGCCGAGTGTATTATAGATATGACGATCATATGTGCTCATGCCCCCTAGAGGGCCTCCTGCCCACCTTATATAGGATGGGGGGCAGGATTACAAGATAGAAACCTTAACCAATACGGTATCGGTTTCCTAAATCTACTTTACAACATAATCAAACCAGAACTTTAGGCTATTCCATAATATAAAGGAAACGTAATACCCAAGTCATGATCCGTTACATATTCCATAGATATAAGTTATCCGCTATAACCAGTCGGATAACCACGCCGTGTGGGTATGGGGCACCCATAATCTCCACAGAAAGAAACCTCCATATTTTAATCTATGACGCTGTTGACTTTTTGTTCAATGTTTGACCATTCGTCTTATTCAAAAAATTTATGTAATTATCATTTATTTTATTATAACTTGATTCGTCATCAAATGTTCTTTAAGCATAACATAAATATTTTCATATTTGCATAAAAATTTTGAATAAAACAAATGGTCAAACGTTGGTCGAATAGTCAACGGCGTCATACATTAAAATACGGAGGGAGTATTATATATGGTGATATTTAGTTGGTAGTGTAATATATAGATGAGTTCCCTAGCTAGCTAGCGACTCAGCTCGATCGATCGATCTCGGTTAACTAAGTTTTCTAGTCCAAATTTACCTCTGCAAGCTACCGCGTACAATACGTCATACCTGCACCAACTCGATCTGCCTTTAAAAGAAACTAGGAAGGTAGCCCACGCTTTCACGCGGACATGTGTCTTACGCTTAGTTCAAGACACTTATAAGAGTGAAATATTAAACGGATAACATCTGCCACGATTTCTCCATAAATTGTTTACGTCGGCATTAATTGCTTTTATAATTTTCTAACCTATTAGCTTTATATTATATCATAATTAAGTAACATCTATAAGCAATTGAAAAGAAGGTAGACTTCTTTTCTTAAGAAAACATGTTAACGAAAGTAAAAGTAAGTGTAAAGTAAAATTAAGGTGTTTTTCTTTTCTTAGTTGCATATATTATCATGGTTTATTAGAGGATGAATTGTGTTAGACATGAAACTCCACTAAATGTATAGGTTTATATAGACTCTTATAATTGATGTAGTTTGAGAGGTGATCCATCTATGAACATTTCATGTAGAGTGGGTCAGAACCTCCACGCAGCTTAACATGAATACGATAACGATGAAATATAATTGCGCAGTAACATTTTTGAAATGTGATGTACCATGAATACACACTTGTTTTTTTAATAAGATAGATCTAAAAAATTATAGTTGTTTTAGTATCCAACATTATTGCAAAGCAAGCGTAGCTCAACTGGTTAGGTTTCTTGTTCTGGAACTTGCCACCTGGGTTCAAGTCCTATACTTGATATGGGTGCTTGCATTTACGATTAATTGTTCTTTCAGTTGTAGGTGACGTACCCATCAATAGTGAGGCATCCGTGGTGATTTCTTTAATCTCAAAATATGCAGGCCCAGTCTTTCGGAAATAGTCGTAGGTATGTGTGTGTGCATTCAGTTGTAGGTGACGTACCCATCAATAGTGAGGCATCCGTGGTGATTTCTTTAATCTCAAAATATGCCGGCCCAGTCTTTCGGAAATAGTCGTAGGTATGTGTGTGTGTGCATTCATAGTATGACTTTTTACGAAATAAAGACAAAATATATTACTTCATAAATATAAATATACTTAGTTAAATCATATAGTAAAATTATTTTAACATAGCATGATTTCATAGTAGCAGGACTAATTTCTTTCCTATTTTTATTTTACATATTTATGATTATTTGAGCGACCGGTAAAATTTTAGAACATGAACCAACACAAAATATTTCGTTTTCAAGAATACTTACGAAGTAGATTTTTCTCACACCATAAATTTAATCAAAGTTGACTGACAGGCTAAAGGCCTAGCAATGTCTCCAATATTCTTCTCTCAAGGCGTCAGATATTTCATTATATTTGTTTGATGACTTTAATTATTCACTTCATCTCTCAAATATAATGGAAGGTCCAGAGAGCCTACGGCATTTAATTGTAAGAAATATAACGGTGTGAGCGAATAATAATTGTTTGGGTACCTAAAAGTTGCTTTTTTGAGATTTATTATGATAAATTAAAAATAATATCTCAACTACTTAAAAATAAGGAGTAAAGGGGATATGAGACGAGGTGAGGAGAGGGGTGGTGGGACATTTGGCAGAAAGGCATTGTGTATATTTCTAATGATAAAAAGGCATTGCATATATTTCTAACGGCATATCGTTGTCATTTAGATTAAAAAATAGAGACTGTCTATCTAACATTCGATAGAAAATCCCCCTAAAATTTCTGGCAAATGTAATTATAGTATAATAGCAGTGTAATTACATTCGTAACTCGTATATAACTGCAGTACAAGAAAGATGTAATTATTATTGTAAAATAGAAAAATTTACAAATCTTGGTAGTGAACACATGCTCTAGCGTTTTGCACGTCGATCGCTGGTTCGATCCTTGGTATCCATGCGCCATTTGATTTTTTCTCTCTTCCACGCATGCATCTTATGCATCTTAAAGCATATCTAATGGTGGAAAATTTGCATGTTTTCCCCATGATTTTCTTTCAAAAGATAAATATCAGTTCCATAAAAGTTTGAGAAATTTTAATGATAGTCTTTAATTTAGTGGTCTTGGGTTCAACGTGTAATATTTGTCTTTTACTCTGAAATATAGTTCAATGCGCCTGAAATCGTTTGAGTAAAGAAATACATAGAATGGTTCAAATCGATCACAAATTGGTTATATACAATTTAAAAGCCATAATCACTTAAAATATTGTTTATTTATTTTTAAAAGGTCCAACTCAAAAGTATAAACCACAAATGCATGCGAAGTGCATGGGTGCAACCGGTGTATAGTCCGCTCTCAGCCTTCACGTTAGAAAAAGAGGCCATTAAATATCTTAACCACCAATAAAAGGAAAAAAAAGAAATAGGGTCCTACGGGAGGTGGCAGGTACGTGTGCGTGGAGAGAGCTTTGGGCCTTTGGCAGGAGAGGGACTCAGAGATTAATCTAATCTAACGGTGTAAAATTATGAGTCCATCAGTTTAAATGAAAATCAATGGCCAGATCTTTTTCTTTCTTCTTGAAATTTCTAGGACTTTCTCTAATTTATTAGAGCGCCAAGTGGCGACGTGAGAGTGTTTTGAGGAAGTTTAATAGACTTTTAGTATATAATAGATAGATAGATAGAAGATAGAAGATAGATAGATAGATAGATAGATAATAGATAATAGATAGATAATTAGCTAGTCATTAAGATGATTAATTAGACCAACTCAACGCTTGTCAGCACGTACGCCTGGAGATGGGCTGTGTCGTCTATTTGCGTGCATCAGCAGCATCATGCATGTATCTGAACTTCGAATACTCCTAGGAAATTAATATTCTTTTGCCAATGAGTCCATTTCAGATTCTCAATTCACAAATCGATCCGTAAATAAAACTAAATGTAGAAATAGATCCTTCGCTTATAAGCATCAACAATGAAGGATAAGCTGTTATTTTAGACGGGACGAGTTTATATGCTAACTTTTACTAATTAATAATGCTATTGGCACTGAGATATTATAGCGCGGATCCAAGCATTCATGACTACAATTAATTAGATTACTTAGGGATCAACTTGTAAAATAAAAATATGTGAAGAACTAAGATGTAAGTAGTTTGTTTTTTTTTTGTAGGAGCGTGTCAAACGTAAGCACGCGGCTGGCGCCGACCAATTCATGCAGCATCAACCTGGCGACACTGCAGCTTCCTTGATATGATGTGATGTATCATCGATCAAGGAACACATCCAAACCCTATAAATCTGTGCTCCACTCCTCATCATCTTCTTCATCCCATCTGCTAGCAAACCCAACCAACCCTAGCTTGAGCACCACACAAACTGCTAGGCTAGCTAGCTAGTGTAACAGATCGATAGCTGCGCGCCATGGCTGCACCAGCTTCCTCCACCTCGTCTCTTCTCCTAGTGTTGGTGATACTGCTCGCAGCAGCGCTGATCAGCCACTCATCAGCCAATGCCTGGCCTGCTAGTAGCTCCGGCTCCGGCGGCGGCGGCGGCGGCCTCAGCGCCGGATTCTACGACGAGACGTGCCCCAGCGCGCAGGACGTGGTGCGGCGCGTGATCCAGGACGCCCGCGTCGCCGACCCGCGCATCCCGGCCTCCCTCATCCGCCTCCACTTCCACGACTGCTTCGTCAACGGCTGCGACGCCTCCATCCTCCTCGACGAGGACCTGCCGTCCGGGATCCACACCGAGAAGCGCGTCCCGGCCAACGACAACTCCGCCCGGGGGTTCGACGTCGTCGACGACATCAAGTGCGAGCTCGACAAGGCATGCCCGGGCGTCGTCTCCTGCGCCGACATCCTCGCCATCGCCGCCCAGGTCTCCGTCGACCTTGTTGGAGTTAATTTATTTATAGAACATACCAGCCTACTCTCTAACTCTCTCTACTACTCATGAAACAAAAGTCAAGGAGCAAGTCCTTCCTCTGCGAAATTTCTAGAGTAGTGTAGACAATAATATGTTCTTGGGCCAATTCCCTATATGCCCATGTAATTTCACCCAATCCCTTCTACGCCCCTGAAATTTGTTTGATCTCTTATATACCCCTGAGTTTTTATTTGGATCCCTTACATACCCATTCCGTTAGTTGACCATTAGTTTGACCGTTAGTTATTGTAGAAATTACTTTATTGTCCTTGTTATATTGTTAAAAGCTAGAAATGTTTTATGTGTAAATTATTTGAGTTGTGAAAACCAATAAGGAATAAATTACTAAATATTTGTTATGAATTTTTGAAAATAAAACATTATTTCATTAAAATAAAAAAAGATTTATTGTAAAAAAAAGTTCTGCATAAGATTTGAAAATTACTTTTCAACAAATATTTAGTGAAAAAAGATTCGTTGTGAAAAAACAAAGGGGATATAATTAGTTTATCACAAATTAGAAAACAAATTTAAAATTTTTAAATAAATTTCAGATCAAATTTGATGAATTTCGTATATCTTCCCAAAAATTTAAACCTAAATAACATTTAGTTTTTGCTCTTAATTTTCTGGTGAAACTAATGTATGGATTTAATCATAATTTTTAAAAAATAAAAAATAATAAGTTTTATTTTTTAAGTTGGGCATTAAATGATTATATTGCTTGTATTTTGTATAAGTTTATTTTTCATATGAAAATTTATTGGGTAGGTACCACACATATGTATAGGATGGGTAGTATAGTCATTTTAAAATATTTAACGGTCAACTAATGGTCAACTAACGGAGATGGGTATAGAGGAGATCAAAATGAAAACTCAGGGGTATATAAGGGATAATGTCAAATTCAGGGGTATTGAAGGGATTGAGTAAATTTTCAGGGGTATATAGGGAATTTTCTCTATGTTCTTTGTGAGTTCTAGTATTTTCATGCATGTACCAGTACTAGTTGTGTTCAGAAAAGTTCCTAGCCATCCTATAAATAGGCAGCTATGTCCTAGATGTGATGCTGTTGTCCAACAATCAATGTAACGTGCAATACTTGAGCAAAGCATAACCAGTTTGTGAAACAAACACAGAGCTTCTCTCCTCTGTTCTCCTTCTCTGTTCCATTGCTAGCAAAATAATCAACAACAACAACTGGTATCAGAGCGCCCAGGTTCGAGTAGGGCGTGACGGAGTAGCACGGCGTATCGGTATTGTCAATTGAAGCTACAAGTATGGCTTCAAGTTCGGGCGCCACAATGGCGCAGTCTATGGTTCCTGTATTTGCAGGAGAAAATTATGATATATGGAGCATCAAGATGCGGACGCTGCTGCTATCTCAAGGATTGTGGGATATTGTTGAGAATGGCTATCAAGAGTATTCCGCTGGAGAAACTCTTACGGCGGAACAGAAAAAGTCTTTGGCAGAGGATCGGATGTCGGACGCCAAGGCCTTGTTCTTGATCCAACAAGGAGTTGCGGAAAGTCTATTTCCGCGTATTATTGGCGCCAAGAAATCCAAGGAAGCATGGGACAAGTTGAAGGAGGAGTTTCAAGGATCTCAGAAGGTACTTGCGGTGAAGCTTCAAACCTTGAGAAGACAATTTCAGAATTTGCTAATGAAGGAGTCAGAGAAGGTAAAAGACTATTTCCCAAGAGTTATTGAGATCGTTAATCAGATGCGCCTCTATGGTGAAGATATAAACGACCAGAAGGTTGTGGAGAAAATTTTAATCAGTCTGCCTGAAAAATACGAGTACATTGTTGCTGCTATTGAGGAGTCGAAAGACTTGTCGACTCTCACAATTCAGCAACTAATGAGCTCGTTGGAATCTCACGAAGAAAGAAAGCTTCAGCGCGAAGGGAGCTCTATTGAAAATGCATTTCAGTCAAAGTTGAGCTTCAGGCCTCAAAACTCAAGGTTTCGAGGAAATTTTCAAAAAAATGAATTTCCAATGCGAGACCGTGGTTATTTTCAGAAAAATGGCTTTTCCAGGCAGAAGGAAGATGGTCAAGAGAGAAGAGAAAAAGGTACGTCCAGTTCAAATTTGTGGTGTGACATTTGCCAAAAATCTAGTCATACTACAGATATGTGCTGGAAGAAAATGACCTGCAACAAGTGCAAAAGAAAGGGCCATATTGCAAAATATTGCAGAACTAGAGAAATTAATCGGGCTAATTTTTCACAAGAAAAGGAAAAAATCTGAAGAAATGGTTTTCTCTTGCCATACTGCTCAAGAAGAAAAAGATGATGTTTGGGTTATTGACAGTGGTTGTACAAACCATATGGCCGCTGATCCAAATTTATTTCGAGAAATGGATTCATCGTATCATGCAAAGATCCACATGGGAAATGGCTCTATAGCCCAAAGTGAAGGCAAAGGTACGGTTGCTGTTCAAACAGCAGACGGTCCAAAATTTATAAAAGATGTTTTGTTGGTACCCGATTTAAAGCAAAATTTGCTAAGTATTGGGCAGCTTCTAGAACACGGGTACGCGGTTTATTTTGAAGATTTTTCTTGCAAAATATTGGACCGTAAAAATAATCGTCTGGTTGCCAAAATAAATATGGAGAAGAACAGAAATTTTCTATTAAGGATGAATCATCCAACTCAAATGGCTCTCAGGAGTGAAATTGATATTTCCGATTTATGGCACAAAAGAATGGGTCATCTTAATTACAGAGCATTGAAGCTACTCAGGACAAAAGGTATGGTTCAAGGCCTTCCATTTATTACTCTCAAGTCTGACCCATGTGAAGGATGTGTATTTGGAAAACAAATTCGGGCTTCTTTTCCCCACAGTGGAGCTTGGAGAGCAAGTGCACCATTGGAACTAGTGCACACTGATATAGTTGGTAAAGTGCCAACAATTTCAGAAGGAGGAAATTGGTACTTTATCACATTTATCGATGATTATACAAGAATGATCTGGGTATATTTTCTAAAAGAAAAATCTGCAGCCTTGGAGATATTCAAAAAATTCAAGGCCATGGTGGAAAATCAGAGTAATCGAAAAATTAAAGTATTGCGCAGCGATCAAGGAGGAGAATATATCTCAAAAGAATTTGAGAAATATTGTGAAAATGCTGGCATCCGAAGACAGCTAACGGCAGGCTATAGTGCTCAACAAAATGGAGTTGCAGAACGGAAAAATCGGACGATCAATGATATGGCCAATTCTATGCTCCAAGACAAAGGTATGCCTAAATCTTTCTGGGCTGAAGCAGTTAATACTGCAATTTATATTTTAAATAGAAGTCCTACCAAGGCAGTACCAAACCGTACACCTTTTGAAGCTTGGTATGGTAAAAAGCCTGTCATTGGTCATATGAGAGTATTTGGTTGCATTTGCTATGCTCAAGTGCCAGCACAAAAGAGAGTAAAATTTGATAATAAAAGTGATTGGTGCATATTTGTTGGCTATGCTGATGGTATCAAAGGCTATAGACTTTATAATTTGGAGAAAAAGAAAATTATCATTAGCAGAGATGTGATTTTTGATGAGAGTGCTACATGGAACTGGAAGTCTCCAGAAGCCTCTAGTACTCCATTATTGCCAACCACTACCATCACACTAGGCCAACCACATATGCATGGCACTCATGGAGTGGAAGATCATACTTCAAGTCCACAGTCATCAAGTCCAATGTCAAGCTCAAGTGCTAGTTCAGATTCAAGCCCGAGCAGTGAAGAGCAAATTTCTACACCGGAATCAGCTCCAAGACGGGTAAGAAGTATGGTTGAATTATTAGAATCTACTTCTCAACAAAGAGGGTCAGAACAACATGAATTTTGCAATTATTCAGTTGTTGAGCCACAAAGTTTCCAAGAAGCAGAAAAACATGATAATTGGATAAAGGCCATGGAAGATGAGATTCATATGATTGAGAAAAATAATACATGGGAGTTGGTTGATCGTCCTAGAGACAGAAAAGTTATTGGAGTTAAGTGGGTTTATAAGACAAAATTAAATCCAGATGGCTCAGTTCAGAAATACAAGGCAAGACTTGTGGCAAAAGGCTTTAAGCAAAAGCCTGGGATTGATTATTATGAGACATATGCTCCTGTTGCCAGGCTAGAGACAATTCGTACCATAATTGCTCTAGCAGCTCAAAAGAGGTGGAAGATTTATCAACTTGATGTTAAATCGGCTTTCTTAAATGGCTATCTTGATGAAGAAATCTATGTTGAACAACCTGAAGGGTTTTCAGTCCAAGGGGGAGAAAATAAGGTATTCAGACTCAAGAAGGCTTTATATGGATTAAAGCAAGCGCCTAGAGCGTGGTATAGTCAAATTGACCAGTACTTTATTCAGAAAGGATTTGCCAAGAGCATAAGTGAGCCTACTCTATATGTCAACAAAACAGGTACGGATATCCTAATCGTCTCACTCTATGTTGACGATTTGATATATACTGCCAATAGTGAGAAGATGATGCAAGACTTTAAAAAAGATATGATGCATACATATGAAATGAGTGATCTGGGCTTGCTCCACTATTTTCTCGGTATGGAAGTGCATCAAAGTGATGAAGGAATATTTATATCACAAAGGAAATATGCTGAAAATATTCTAAAGAAATTTAAGATGGATAACTACAAGTCAGTTACAACCCCCTTGTTGCCAAATGAAAAGCAAAAGGCTAGAGATGGAGCTGATAAGGCAGATCCAACAATTTACAGAAGCTTAGTTGGAAGTTTATTATATTTGACCGCAACACGACCGGATATTATGTTTGCGGCAAGTTTATTATCAAGATATATGTCTAGCCCAAGTCAATTAAATTTTACCGCTGCAAAGAGAGTTTTGCGGTATATCAAAGGGACCGCAGATTATGGTATATGGTATAAGCCAGTTAAAGAATCAAAATTAATTGGCTATACGGACAGTGACTGGGCTGGATGTCTTGACGATATGAAGAGCACATCAGGCTACGCTTTCTCACTTGGTTCAGGTATGTGCTCCTGGTCTTAAAAAAAATAAAATATTGTCGCTTTATCTTCAGCCGAAGCAGAATATGTAGCAGCATCAAAAGCTGTTTCACAAGTTGTTTGGTTGAGGAGAATTATGGAAGATCTGGGCGAGAAGCAATATCAGCCTACTACAATTTATTGCGACGGTAAGTCTGCAATTGCGATCAGCGAAAATCCAGTCAGTCATGACAGGACGAAACATATTGCTATCAAGTATCATTATATCCGGGAAGCAGTTGATCGCCAGGAAGTTAAATTGGAATTTTGCCGAACTGATGAGCAGTTGGCAGATATATTTACCAAGGCTTTATCCAAAGAAAAATTTGTCCGCGACAGAGAGCTCATCGGAGTTTGCAAGAAATAAATTAAGGGGGAGTTTGTTGGAGTTAATTTATTTCTAGAACATACCAGCCTACTCTCTAACTCTCTCTACTACTCATGAAACAAAAGTCAAGGAGCAAGTCCTTCCTCTGTGAAATTTCTAGAGTAGTGTAGACAATAATATGTTCTTTGTGAGTTCTAGTATTTTCATGCATGTACCAGTACTAGTTGTGTTCAGAAAAGTTCCTAGCCATCCTATAAATAGGCAGCTATGTCCTAGATGTGATGCTGCTGTCCAACAATCAATGTAACGTGCAATACTTGAGCAAAGCATAACCAGTTTGTGAAACAAACACAGAGCTTCTCTCCTCTGTTCTCCTTCTCTGTTCCATTGCTAGCAAAATAATCAACAACAACAGACCTCGCCGGCGGCCCGCGCTGGCGCGTCCAGCTCGGCCGCCGCGACGCCACCGCCACCAACATCCCCAGCGCCGACAACCTCCCCGGCTTCACCGACACGCTCGAGGACCTCGTCGCCAAGTTCGACGCCGTCGGCCTCGACCACGGCGACCTCGTGGCGCTCCAGGGCGCCCACACGTTCGGGCGGGCGCAGTGCCTGTTCACGCGGGAGAACTGCACGGCGGGGCAGCCGGACGACGCGCTGGAGAACCTGGACCCGGTCACCCCCGACGTGTTCGACAACAACTACTACGGCAGCCTCCTCCGCGGCACCGCCAAGCTCCCCTCCGACCAGGTCATGCTCTCTGACGACCCCTACGCCGCCGCCACCACCGCGCCCTTCGTCCGCCGCTTCGCTGGCAGCCAGAAGAGCTTCTTCAGGAGCTTCGCGGCGTCGATGATCAAGATGGGGAACATCAGCCCGCTCACCGGGATGGACGGACAGATCAGGCAAAACTGCCGCAGGATCAACACCTATTACTAGCCTATCTCATCGATCATACATTCCATTCCATGTCCATGCATGATCGAGTTTAACTTTACTCATCTTTTTACTTGTGTCCATAATTAATTCATTATTTTCCTCTCATTCATGACCAATTGTAAGTCTACAACATGTAAAGTGTTCCCCGATCTTCATTTTCCATGTCAACCAACTATAAACATGATATTTTATTTATTTACTATTTCCAAAGGGTTCCATACTCAATATCTCGTATAATTCAAGAATGTACAAAGGTTTTTGGCGTTCCTATGAAAGTGTTTCACACTATTTTTTGATTACATGGTAGAGATTTTTTGATTACATGGTAGAGACACATACACCACTACACAAAACACTGTACTCGCACACCCATGAATACATCCCCAAACACGCGCTTAGGGAAGCACTTGCGTAACCCCTAATACATCCCCTCCAAAACTTGCCTATCCATGAACCCTTGCATATCCCCTAATAAGTCCCCTCTTAAAGAGGCGGAAACCAATGGCATATTTATGATTTCATTAAATTCTATTAAAAAACCTCTTGTGTAAGTATAATATGAGATTTGCTCTAGTCTAACCAAAAGTATCTCGAGGCACTGGTACTTCACAGTACTAAATCGTTTTCATTTGTTGGATCTAACTGGACAAGATAGATATTGTTAGATCCAACGATTAAAAACGATTTGGTACCATGAGTACGGTATCTCGAGGTACTTTTTGTTGGACCGGAGTAAATTTCGTATAATATTTATAGACATTAGGATTTGGAGAACATATCCTATGCACACAAGTTTCCCGTGCACACCAACTAATAAATGTCACAAAAATTGAATAGTATTATACATATCTGCAAAGTCTTATGTTCAAATTCATTATATTTTAGCCATAAGATAAAAGTGAAAAATTTGACAGTTTTAATGGTAAAAATATGTTAGTATTTTGTCTATTTTGTTATGCCTAAAATATAATAAATTTGAATTTAAGATTTCACACGTAAGTATACTATTGGAAATATGTGCCCAATATTTTTTAGAATTTTCTGTGACATTTGCTAGTTGGTGCGCACTGGAAGATTGTGTGCATAGGATATATTTTCTAGGATTTGAACCTGATGGGTGGAATCATATAGCCACGACTCCATCACCTCGCCATATGTGCTCCCCCCCCCCCCCCCAACCAAAAAAAATAAAAAAAGATTGTGAAGAAAAAGGAGATGGGGGAGATGCACACTACATATAGAATAATTGGTCCTATTCGATCAAAATATGACTTGATGATGTCTAGAGACGTTTGGAACTATATATATATATATATATATATATATATATATATATATATATATATATATATATATATATATATATATATATATACTCCATATATCTATATACTCTGGTGGGTTGTTGACTAGAATTATATATACACGGTGACATTTCATGGGAAGAACAAGTCATTTGCGAACTTGATCGACACTGGCAAAGTCCAATACGTCCAAGTGGTTCTGGTATGTGTAAGTGGTGTAATTTGCTTGCTCAAACAAAATTAAACTGCATTTTGTTTATTAAAGCACGAGACAATCACAAAGACATATACTTATGCAGCTATGCAATGCACATAGTATAGTTGTAGATTTTGATGATGGTGATCAAGGTCAGAAACTTCTCGACAATTATTTATTTTCTTTCATTACTCCTGATCAATTGTAAGTGCAACATGTAAACGCCATGTTTAGATTCCAACTTTTCCGTCACATCGAACTTTCCTATACACACCCTTTCAACTTATCAGTCACATCGTTCCAATTTCTTTTAAACTTCCAATTTTGACATGGAACTAAACACAGTCAAAGTGTTCCCCAATTTACACATTTTCGATGCCATTGAAATTAATTTATTTTTTCCGTCCAAAGGGTTCCATGTATACTCAATGTCTCGTACGGTTCAAGAATACATCTAGGCCAACTGTACCAAAGTTTTTGGCATTCCTATATATGAAAATAATTCATATAAAATATTTCTTTTGTCAAAAAATGGAGATGGCCGGGGATATGCACACTGCACATATAGAAGAGAACTGGTCCTACTGATTAAAATATGACTTGATGTGCATATATTGTGTACAATATGCACACTCCATATAGAGGAGAACTGGTCCTATTGATTAAAATATGACTTATGTGTATATATTGCGTTAAATATGCACACTCCATATATCTGTATGCTCTGGTAAGTTAATTACTGACTAGAATTATATATACACATTGACATCCAGGGGAAGAAAGAACAAGTCATGTGGCAACAACTTGGTCGACACGGGCAAAGTCCAACACGTCCAAATGGTTCTGCTAGGCGTAATTTGCTTGCTCAAACAAAAACCGCATGTTCTTTTTTTTTTCTGAAAGCACGAGACAATGGCAAAAAAATATATAATAGATTGGCTCAATAGGCTTCATCAAAAGGATATATAATTATATAAGAGCAAAAAGGCAAATGGCCTCATCTTTTCGTTTATACTTATACTTATCAGCCAGAATTTAAATTTTAACCTTACATTTGGAGTTGATTTTAAGGATTTTTCATCGAAGTTTATTTTTCAGCCTTTACTTTTAGATCGCTAAAGACACGTATATAAAATTTTTATTCACAATTACTTTTCGTTTGCAAATATACCATTTCACAATGCCTCCGAAAGTGTAAACGCTACTCCTAAAAGTTAAAAACTACTTTGAAAAATAATTTATAGGTGTATGCTTGAAACAACTGAGTTAAAGAATTGGTCATGCATGTATTGTTGATTAAGCAACGAGTTGACGTGTGCTTATATAGTAGTCAAAATCAAAAATCAAATGGAACAATTGCATAAAAAAAAGCACCCCAAATATCATCTTCAGTTTGAGATTCTCCCTACAAGATGTAGGGCCCAGTCTTTTGACTTTTCAGGCCCCGGTGCAAAACTAAATATAGAAACTCTTATCGTACTATATAATAATAACTAATAGATACACATACTTTATATATATGAATTATTGCCGTAAATATTTAAGTTGCATTCAGAAATAATATATTTATAGAAAAATTTGTACATATTACCGCGAAAATTCCTTTTGAAGTCATCCACCAATTTCTTGTTTTATTCTTTTTCTCGCTACCCCATGCATACTTTCTCGACGACATGGTTTGATAATTGAAAAAAAAACATTGTTACCGTTGTTAAACTCATATAAATTACACTACAAAATTGCAAATCTAAATTTAAAATCTTGCCAATTAGTTGATCGGAAGAGTCTAGATGCGCACAGTAAATAAATCTGAAACACACTAGTGCAGCTTCGTGCCTTCGTCAGAATTAACCTAACATATGACTATACATCGGTACACGATAAAAATCAACAAATGAGATTACAGATTAACAGATAAAATCACAATGTTACCAAATTTCAATGGGCTGATTTGGCGATGGCAAATTAGAAATGATGTGTATGTAGTACTCAACAGAATATCTGATGAGACAGACATCAGTATTCAGTGACCGTCGTCCTCATCCAGTACTGGAGGGCAGCCGGCGGCAAGCAAGAAGCAGCAGCCGCGCCTGCACCTGAGCTGTTGAGCACCTCGTGCGGAAAATGCGAACAGGCAGCGGAAATCAGCCGCGCAGGCGCACAGCGCAGAATTGGGTTGGCAGCTCGGCGCCGATGTAGCTAGGCTGCCCTAGATGCGCTGCGCACAATTTCACCATGAGGAGGAAAGAACGTGGGTGTGAGGCGGTGGCAATCTCGCATCTATTCTGTTCGCCTTCCGCGCATCAGCCGATCGGCGCATGTGCTCTGTTCGCCTTCGAATTTTTTTCATTTTTTAATTTTTTTTTAATATTTACAGAAATAATCTATCGGCGCAAAAGATTACAAAAATAGACCCTGCCGCCTGCCACTGGGGCGGTAAGCTGACGTGGCAAACGGGGGAGGGACGGGCGGTGACGGAGGGCGGTTTTTTACAGGAAAACCCTTGCCGTCCTCTGTTGGGGCGGCAAATGGCCCCAATGCAAAAAAGCCAGCAAGGGCCGGCCATTTTACAGGCGTCCCCTTGCCGCCCTCTGACCAGACGGCAGGCCTCGTTTTCTATAAAAGGCCTGCCACCCTGCCCCCAGCCCTCATTCCTCCCCTCACAACTCCAGTTTTAAAAAAAAGAAGGGGGAGGAGAAGAGAAGAAGGGGCGAAGCCCTGCCGGATTCAGATACCGATTTCAGGTAATATTCATAGATCCTATATGTACCTATTGAGTTAACTACTGTGTATTTTTTAAAACTTTGTTTGAATAAATGCATTATGTTTTTAAGGTTTTAGTTGTACTAATCTAGAACTGCGTATTGTAGATATCGGTAACTACGTAGATCTGCTAGTTTGAAATCAATACTTTACCATTACATTGGCATACACAAGAAGATATTATGTTGTAGGTGTTTATTGCATGAAAGAATAATATGATCTAGTTATTTCGTTGACAGATATGTCGAACAAACAAATATTCCATGTTTACCATGGCCTAGGAAACGTTCGTTACGGGCCAACTGGGTAGATCTGTCAGAATTTATTATATCAGAAAGAGGAATTGATAGACCGGCTGAGAGGAGTGTACCTTCTATAAGAAGATTGTTAATGAGGGGATTGAGAGTTGATCCGCAGACAAGTGACATAACAATCAATGTTATAGTAAGTCGGGCAACTGAGGGTTTTTATTGGGAACTAATGCCAGTTCAAAACTCTCGAGTGTGGAGATGGTATGTGGAAAATGCATTGCAATGCGGGTGGCCTTTAGCTATGGTTCCGTTTGTTCACACGAAGGATCCATTGTCAGGTTCTTCGTTCCATAAAGCCTACGATATTGGGTCGAAGGTTCTTTGTTTGTTCAAATATTCTCGACAACGATTTCATGGTAAGAATATTTTGATTATCATGAATCCTTATTTTCTCACAACATTTACTAACTTTGCTCGCTTCACATCTATTCTTTTCTCCCAGGAACCACCAAGGAGATGTCAATACAGAGAATGGATAGACACCAGAAGGGTGCTAACTCCACCTAGCCGTGTTGTGCAGCTTGAACTACCAGAGCAATACAGGGTTACTAAAACGCGGTTTGAGAGAGGAGAGGGATCCTCACGTAGGGGTTAGCTATTATCGGACAACTTGGCATATTGAAATTTCTACTGTCATGCTTCCTTGTCCCATTACTACATCGTCGTTGTGTTCAACTCTTGCACTACCTCCCTCCTAGTTCAAATATAATATCATCTATGTAACCGCAATGGAAATAGTTGTATCATGTTCAAATTTTACTACTATTTCTTCATGTTACATAATTCTCCTTGTTTAAGTCCATATAAT